AAGCAATCAAAATGTAATTAGCGTTAGAAAAACAGTTTTTTTCCGCTAAAGTGTTATCGCCGCCAAGGATGGCGCCCAAGGATCCCTGATAAGAACGTGCAGCATGTGAAATTGACCCCAAATATGCTTATTAGCCGTTCATGGACATTAAAATCCGGGGAATGTATGTAACGAAGAAAACTGGAAAATCGGATAATCCGCTAAAGGTTTTCCTGGCTTGGCAATGGAAATATTTTTTGCGCAAAAATTACGGATGCTACATGTTACAAAGAGCACAAAAATGTTAAGTGAATTCCACCGACCAAATAAAAGTTCCGGTAGTTTTCGCAACCAAGACGCTTAAGAATGTACCACTTTTAGCAGAGAGAAATTTGCAAGTCTGCTCACCTAAAGCCAAAGAGTAGCGGTCACTTTCGTCCCGGTGGATGAGCTCGCTCTTATTGGGCAAATAGTCGGTGAGGAGTGAAAGACACTCAATTGATGTGTTCTCAACTGCGTACTTAAAGGCCGTCTTGCCATCCATGTCTGGCATTTCCGGGTCGCCCCCATTCCTCAACAACAAATCCAGAATCTTCGTCCTCTCCCATATGGTCGCAACATGTACGGGCGTCAGCCCATCATCATCCGATCTGAGGAGACAAAATGAAAATGGTGAGTGAAAAAGTGAAAATCTGGATCGAATGGATGATCCAGAACCTACAGGCGGGTCAACGGATCTTTTATTCCTCAATTAGTCGCGCGATTTCTCTGGAACATTCCCCTGTTTTCCTGATTAGTTTTACTTGAATATTGACGTCATTTTGGAGGATTATCATGTACGTTCGGTTGAAATCGTCTCGTGTACGGCGCCGCCAACCCGATAAGCCTTGTGAAGACTGCAAAAACATATTATGTTGCATTTGTCGCTTGTCAAGTGATGCCATTTACGACCCGTGAAGTGACTAAAAATAATCCAAAAACGAAAAACAACTTTGATGCCAACCCTCGGAGTACAGACGCGTTATCAAGTTATCGACTGACCGCCTTCACAGTTCATAGTATAGTAAACTGCGGAATATCGAACGGTTCTGGCTGAAACCGGTTACCGGCTGCAGTTGAGATAGCAGAAAATGTCATTAATTGTATAATAATTGGAGTGCGATAAACTTTATGAATGAACGTTTGACCCACAAATGGCCAAATACAAAGTTCTGATCAAATATAGGTTGTCTCAAGCTATTTGGCAGTGACGTCATTATTTGAGACGCCATATTGACATTTACTCATGACCAATTTGACACATTTTCTTTCATGTTGCGTGATTGAAAGCGTGACAGATTGTTCCCGGTGATTTACATGGTTGATTTTTATGGTTGATAAGTCATAGAAAAAGAACAATAATTGCGACACTGCGAAAAAGGATGAGATAGACTATATACTCACTTGACGTTCGGGTTGCCGCCATTTTGCAACATTAGGCTCACGATCCCCAAGGCGAAGTCCTCCGAGTGACAGCCGACAGCTAAGTGCAACGAGCATATTCCTTTGCTAGGGAGGATCAGGTTGGGATCAGCTTTCTTCTCGGTCAGAAGCGACTCGATTGACCTGCAACCAAACAGAATCAGGTCAACGACACCCTTGAATTTTCAATCGTGGTTCAATGTATTCATTTTTTAATTAAAGAAAGCTGCGTGGGATCTTCAAATTGAGCAACAAAGACCAGTAACAAGTGAAGATTTTCAGGTTAATTGCACCAATTAACCCTGGGTATATATATGTGTATAATATCCTACCGTGAGATAAGAGTTTATTATTCAGCACCCGGCTGTTTGGGTCCGGGATTTAAGTAAATGCGGGCGATTTCGAACAACACATTATTGACCAATCCAAAATTACAGACATTCTTTTAGTCATTATTATGCTCGAAGCGATAAGGGCGCCGATACACTCTAATCCTGGAATAAACGACATTAATCAGTTACGACAGATAGTCGAATAGTCGATTATCTTTCAATTGTTGCCCCATTAAGAGTAAACACGTTGACTTCCTATTAGGTTTATCTAATGAGATAAATGTCATCTACGTAAAGGATCACGTGCCATGGTACAATGGATTCTATAGGTTAAAGTGTCAAAAAACATTTTTTTTGCAAAACGTCAAAGTTGAAAGCTTTAACGATTGAAGAACACGTCAAGTTTAACTGACATTTGAAGAAGAATTTGTAGTTTCGTTAAGGTCAACAGATTTTATGTTGAGTTAAGTCAAAAGCTCATCACGTTTGTCAGGCATTTGAAGAACCTTTTGTAAAACGTCGTTAAAGTTGACAGTTTTTATGTGAAAAGTTAAGTCAGAAGTTCATCAAAGCCCCAATGTTTCAAAAAGTGCTTGAAAATATTAAGTCCAACTGACAATTGAACGGAAACTTGCAAAACGTCGTTAAACTTGACAGCTTTTAATTTAAGAGGTTTAGCCAAAAGATCATTAGATCATCAACCAGTATAAAGTTGCGGGAAAGCATCAAAGTTCAACGGAGATTTGAAGGAAACATTGACATTGGTATTTGTAATGACGTTTAAGTTGACGTCTTTTATTATGTAAAGTAGTCAAAAGCTGATAAAATGTCAATTTTAGCATCTTTGACTTATCAAACGTTGTTAAACTTGACAGCTTTGGCGTTGAAAATATAAGTCGAAAGTTCATGAAAGCGTCAATATGTATAAAATTGCTTAAAAATGGCGCGTTTACTGACGGTTGTACAAGCTTTTATAACGTTAAAAATTGTCAAGTGTAAGGCAATGTGTCCAATGAACTGCAAAAGGGGGACAAAATTAGCTTGCAGACTTTTCCAGACTGTGATATAAGCCTTGTTCTATGGATATAAGTCTTGCTCAAAAATCACCCTACAGCCGGACTATGGCCCCAAGCAAACAGCAGTTTTAAGTACGTTATCGGACTTTATTATCCAATTCCTGAGAACCCTGAAGACCGTCATGGGTTTAGCACAATTCCAATCTTTGCTGACGAAAAGTTTCTGTGCGGAATTTTATGAATGAGATTTTCACGGAATCCATAATTTTTTTACAATCACGACACCAAATTTCTTATTTTAAATTGAAAATCTCGTGAAAACTTACGCGTCATGCCTGAACTCCACAGAATCATAAAGCAGGGCAGCCAGAAACAACTCCTTTTTGTTTCTGCCACGATAGAACATGATCACACTCGGTCAATTGGGGGAGAAAATCTGCGTTTTCCACCAAAATTTGTTCACTTTTTCAACGCAAATCATAAACGCGGGTATTCGAGAAATGCGGCTGGCGAACCGCGAAAAAACCCGTACCACTCGCTCAAATCCCAATAAAATTGTAAACAATTCTGATCTGGCCGGCATGAATGGGGCTATTAAATGAATAATTCTCGTGTTTACCTCCTGCTGAGCCTGCGCCATCTCATGGATACCAGGGCCGTTTGATAACATCCCAAATTAGAATTTTGAAACTCAAAATGCCTCTAAACAACAGCAGAATTACGCTCCTTGTGCTTCCTGATCTTTGCTTGACTCAGCTAAGTTACTTCTCAGTGAGAAATTTGATATAAGAGCTGTTAAACCCCTGACTATATACGCATGTAGGATTTGAACTGTATTGGTATGTGAACAACAGACTTGCATAACCTCAGAACTGAACAGCTGGTCGCTGGACATAACCACAGAAGGTGACGTTTAGTGATTAGTGAAGTGACCAAAAATACTCTGTTTTTAGTGTTTTATATTTAGGAAATGTCTATTCTAGTCATATTGTACATTAATTGTTATAACTTGTTAAGGTCAGTGGCATGTTATATCAAGCAGCTGGTTTTAAGCACTAGACTGTCCATAAGCTTTCGCCTCTGAGTCTGGTTGAGAAAGTTCAGCTATTGATTAGATTTTGCTGAATTGTGCAAAAATGCAAAATTGCAGGCAATTGGAAGAATTCCATTGGAATTCCTCCTCTGGAAACTAAATTTTCCTTCTAAACTATTTAGTGTTGTTTGCCTTTTGTATTTTTCTTCTAAAACATTTAGTGTTTTTCACAGTCAACTCTATATTTGCTCCAGTCTTTGCAGATTTAGCAAGAACTGTTCAAAAAACGTTCAAACAACGCCTAAGACTGGAGAAATTGTTTCTCAATGTTGCGCTTCAGTTAGTTTTCCTTTTTTTTCCAAATCTGTGTTTCTCCGCTGAAAGAGTAGTGTTCTTTTGGGTTACTGTACTTATTTGTTGGAGTTTTTTTCAAGTTGGGATTACAAGCCCTGAAAGCTGCACTTTTTCACCATCATCAGGCGATTATTGGTGATTTTTTCTAGTTGTTACGGATATTTGTTGTCCGCAAGTTTATCGCTCCTGAAATGAAAAAGTTGCGGCCTTTTGAGGCGCTTGTTTGGAATAACCACAGTGGGGTTTGTGTATGTTGGAAGTTTCTAGTCTGAACCATTATCATGCACTTATTGGTAAATTTTTCAATTTCCGCAAGTTTGCATGGAAATTTTTTGTAAATTTATTGCTTCTCGCATGAAAGTTGTTTTTTTTTAGGAATTGCGTTTGTTGAAGCATAGTTAATATTGCAAGCTCCAAAAGTTTAAATTTTTCGCCATTATCAGGCGATTATTGGTGATTTTCTCAGTTCTAAAGTGAAAAAATAGCGGAAAAATTGGCGTTTTTTCATGTCTTTTTCGCGTCTTGCACGCTTGAAATCATCAAACAATTATTGATGATTTTTTAAAGTTTCATCGAGTAGTTTCGGCAAGTTTATTGCTTCTAAAGCGGAATAGTTGAGTCCGTTTGGAAATTTTCTTGCGTGTTTTTTGCAAATTCTTCGTTTCTCAGTTGAAGTCGTTGCATCCTCAGCAATTATTACATTGGTTGGCCATAGTTGGTTTTACACACAACCTTGAAAGTTTCGATTTTGCACCATTCTCAGGCGATTGTTGATGGATTTGACAATTTTGCCTACTTTTTTACCAACAAGCATTATTATTTCAGATGAATAAACAGTCGGCCATCCTACCTGACTGCACCAACAGATGCCAGTCCACTCAGCATGGCGACATTGTAACGGCAGCGATCAGCAAACGCTCCGTTAGCGACAGCAACTTAGCGTCGTTTCTTAACACCACCTGCTGCTGCTGTGAATCAGTCAAAGATCAGGATGGACGGACTGCTCTACATGTGGCAGCATCCTGCGGAAGAACGGCTCTGGTTCGATGGCTGGTGTTAAACCGGCACGCCAACATCAACGCGCCGGACAAGGAATCGGGTTACACAGCGCTGCATCGGAGCGCTTTTTATGGGAAAATCGACACTGTAGTGGAGCTGATCAAGTTAGGTAAGTAATTAAGCGATGCACCGGATTGGGATTGAAGCTTTTCCTCGTAATTCAGGAGCTAATGTGGCTGTTCTCGATGGCAATAGTTTAACGTACTTGGAGCACGCGATGCTGGATCGCTTCCGTCCTCCCAACAATGACTCGAAAGGCGGCGAACTTTTTTCTTGGGGACCCAACTCGAACAACTCCCTAGGATCGCAACATTCCCGCACTGTACCTGAAACTATGGATATTTTCCATAAGGAATACCCCGATGAAAACGTTCGCCTGATTCTAATTCAAGAGTTTCACAGTGTCATTTTGACGACTTCGGGTAATAATCGGCGTCGATCTCGTTTAAGTTAATCAGCAAGTTCCTCTATTTAAGGCTTGGTGTTTACTTGCGGCCATGGCCAGGGGGGCAGGCTGGGCTTGGGCGTTCAGCACACTGAATTTCTCCCAAAACCCATCAAGTTTCCAACCGTCACCAAGAATGTGCAAACAACCTTCGATAAGATTGAAATTGTGAACGTGAGCATCGCCAGGGATCACAGCCTGTTTTTATCGTCTTGCGGAGAGGTACAAGCCGCAAAATTGCGCCAGAAAATCGATTAATTGACAAAAAAATACACCAAAACTTTAGATTTTTGCCTGCGGCCTCAACAAGCATATGGTCTTGGGAATGGTGCCTCCTCCTGCTGAGTTGCTCACGCCGAAGCTGGTGAAATATTCTCCAAACGGAAACGTTTCTTTGGCTACCGGCAACTACCACTCGATCGTTTGGGGCGCCTCAGGTGCGAACTGATAAGAGAATATGGACGCAAGGGATTAGTATTGATTTCAGGGATTTTCACGTGGGGTTTGAACGCCGGACAACTGGGCCATCCGGCTCCCGGCCCGTCGGAAAAGTACATTCTAACGGCCAAACGAGTTAAGTACATCGCCAAAGAGAACAGCATCCGATTGGTTTGTGCCAGTACTGGCGCTACTGTTGTTTATACTGTAAAAGGCGACGTGTACATTCTGCACGAGTACCAATGTCGGAAAATCGCTTCAAGGTACGCAAGGTCAATTGAGAAGGTGCCAAAACGGACAGACAGAGAGATTTCTTTCAGACAGTTAAACTTGGTGGAAATAGCTGTTGTAGGCGGCAACCTCAACCACTCCCTAGATCCAGAACTGTCCAATAAGAATCGCGAGCTTAGGGTGGCCGCACTCACCAGCACTGGCAATCTTCTACTGTGGCAGGAATCCGATGCAGCGTTACGTAAATGCATTTTTTCCATTGGCAGAAAACTGACCATCACGCAGGTGGTGCTCAACATGAGCAAGGTGCTCTTCGTTACCCGCGACGGGGAAGCGTTTCAAGGCGAAGCCCGTCCGAGGAAGAAGAAACCGACTGGCCCGAAGGAGAAAGGCAACAAAAGCGACTTTCACAAGTTTTTCGATAGGGATGAGAGCCTGACCGTGAAAGTGGAGAAGATAGCGCGAGTGCATCGAGCGCTGAGCATCCAAAGCGACCCGAAGGGTCAGAACTTTGGGATTGTCCAGGTAAGTTTATTCTACCTAGTAAAGCGACTTAAATATCGGACTTAAACGTGGACGCCCACATGCAATGCAAAACGGGCGCAATCAGAAATTTCCTGATGATGACTGAAAATTGAAACTTTGTTCACTCATATAAGGAACTTTACCCTACAAAATGCTTTCAGATTTGAGTTTTTCTCTTCCGAAATTAGAGAAAAAATAAATGATTAGCGACTACGAAAACCGAACAGGATTTTGAAAATTGCCTGAAAATGCAGGCAAAGAACCGCTTGGTTTTCTGATTTCTGAGTGTCAAACTCAACGTTTATTGGTTTTTTTTCAGGATCGGCCTTACAGCTTCTTCCCTAAAAGCGAAATTTCCGCTTCCACCATGCCGGATAACTTGCTCGATTTTCTACTCCAGGCCGATGTGGATGACGGCATTGCAGACGTAGAAATTAACATATCAGGCAGACTGTTTCCGGCCCATCGCTACATTTTGGCCTCCCGCAGTCCCTACTTTTCCAATCTGTTCGCCCAAGCCGGAAACCAATCGCTGGAGTATCCTGGATACAATCCAGTGATTTTCGAGGAGTTTCTGCGCTATGTTTACACTGGCACTACCGAGCTGATTCGCATCGGAGAACTGAAAAACCCTGCCCTGATCCAGCTCTGCTCCAGACCGGTCATAGTGGATGAGAACGCGCCGGCTTTCCAATACTATTCCGACTTGAAAGTCAACCGCAAATTGAACAATCCGGTGCGGATGTTGCACGAAATGGCCAAGCGGTTCGAGGTGATGGAGTTGCAGAAGATTCTGAGCAACTTGGAGGTGATCAGGCAGGAGGTGACGGTGAAAAAGGGGGGCCGCGATCCCTGGAAAACCCAAATCCACTTCAACCGGTTTGAGTGCCCGGAATTATGGGACGTGGAGATCCATTGCAAGGATGACCGCGTGCTGAAGGGGCACAAATGCATTCTAGTCGCTCGACTGGACTATTTCAACAACATGTTTTCAACCAGATGGAGCGGGGTTAGTACGCAATTTAAACCCTTTAACTGAACCAACATCCAACCATCCTTCTCCTTTAGGCGGAAACCTCAAAAATCTCCATTCACTTTGCCAAGGGAGTGGTCGAATCCCTACTAGCCTTCTTGTACACCGATTCGCTGGACAGTCTGGACGAAAAGGACATCGATCAGCTGTTCAAAATCATTGTCCTGGCCGATCAGTTCTTCGTCAAACGGCTGAAGGATCAGTGCGAAGCGATTCTGTCCAATCTGCTGACGGTGAAGAACGCCGTTGAATTGCTGACATTTGCCGACTCGTACAACGCCTGCAGCCTGAAGGAGAACTGTTTCCAGTTTGTGCAGCAAAACGTGACATCGTTTTTGGAAATGCGGCTGTTGGATGATCTGGAGCCGCAATTGCTTGCCGAACTTTCGCAATTCTACCAGCAACAACGCCGTTTGGACTGCAGAATTATCACGCCCTATTCCACAGCCGTTTGCGATGAGGAAGTCATCCTGGCGAGCGCCTTGTGTGCGGTGGATTTAGCCGACATACAAGAGAGGAGCGCGATTAAGGAGAAGCGAAAGCCCAAAAAACGCATTCCAAGTCACAAAGTCAGTGCCTCCGGCAAAGTGGGGTTGGAGCACGAATTGCTAACTCCAACAGTTTCCGTGTGTGATGAGCCCAAACTCGACTCTCCACCTGTTGTGAACAGCCGCGTATTGTCGATAGTGTTAGCCAATGAACTGGTTAAAACTGAAGCGGCAGAGGAAAACTTTACGGTGCTGCGCAAACACCGAGACTCGGACAGTTGGAGCGCTTCATTCGACTTTCCCTTGCTCAACAGCCCCCCGAAATCCAACGCTGCGTACAGTCGCCCTCAGAAGACTGAACCCAGAGTGAAAACTTCGAAGCTGTCGCAAAAACAACGCAAGCGACTGTCTTCAGAAAGCAGCAGCCCTCCAGTCGCAGGTTAGCCATTAGATCAAAAATTCTCTAAAATACAGCCGTTGTGGTTGTTGTAGAAGCGCCGAAAAACCCCTGGAAAGTTATTGAAAGCCCCGTTTCGCCGGTGGGTTCGCCTCAGAACGACGACATTGGCTCCATCATATCAAACGAGCGGAAGCAGAAGGAGAATTTGGAGAAGATCAGAAGCAAGCGTCTGGTGTTTACGCAGGTAAATTGCTTTGGGTGACGGGAGGTTTAAATGTTTTTGCGCTAACTAATGTTCGCAGATGGAGGATAAGGCGATCGAGGAACTGAGGAGGTTTTATAGCGTTGACGATATGGATGACGAGATTATTGTTATCAATAGGGTCTCTATGGGCGCGGTGGCTTTGCCCACGTGGGTGCCAAAGACCAAATAATGTAGGTAGATTTATGTTGATTTTTAAACAGTTTTTTGTTGTTACTTTTCCCATCACTCGGCTTTATAGAGGGTGTTCCGAAACATGTGGGCATCCAAGCAGTCAAAGCAGTACAAGTTTTTATTTACAAATTTCCGCAAAACCTCCCTTACAAGATTTTAGCTTTTAAGTGGAAAAGGGCCGTTTAAACTCGCGGCGTTTAATCGCGTTTTTATGCTGGCACTCGCCAGGAAAAGACGAAACTGAAAATTGCGATTTTTCAAATGCGGAAATCGAGATTGAACACTATTGAACTTTGAATTTGTTAAAAATATTGGTTGGTGATGGCTGAAATTCTAAACGGCATTGATTCAAGTGGTGTTAGCCTATAAAGTGCATAAACAGCGAAGTTTTTAGCTCCTTTGGTTCTAAACTTATCAAGTGCAGAAGACAAACTTGTACAATAGCGTTTTTGCAAGAATCAGCCAATTTTACAAATTTGATTGTTTAATTTTTACAAGTATGGTTAGTCAAAGAAAATAAATTGTTACTTTGACTCGTTACTAAGTGCATAAAGTAGGAAACTTCAAGAAAACTCCTTGAGGTAAAAATAGTGAAGGTCATTGATCGCGCATTAGTTTGGTGGAAACTACAGAGCGAGCACGTTTGTAACTATGCGTTTAAATTCGTGTATTTTTCGCTTCAGCTGCAGGCTCCAATCGAACTTTCGCCTTTAAAAAAACCGTGAAATTGGCAACTTTTCAGAAAAATTGCACGTGAATATATAAAACCGATTCCAAGTCATTTGCCACCCGGTATGAGCGGTGCCAACGACTTGATTATCGACTACTCAAAACGCGATAATTACACAACCCGAACGAAATATTGAAGTTCACTTGATCAAAATGAACGAGAACGTTCTCCTGGATCAAGTTTTGGACTTTTACAGTCAAAACGACTGGAGGAAAGTGTTGCGACTGAACGAAACATCCGAATGCAAAGAGGCCCGCAAACTGCTCTGGGCGTGGCCTAGTGAAGACAATATGCTGTTCCTCAAAAAGGCCTTGGAGGAATATGGCCTTAAAGGTGTCGCATCTATGGGATGTGGATGCGGGCTTTTGGAGTGGATTATTCAACAATTCACCGGTAAGTAGTCAATAATAATCTATTGAGCGAGCAGAACTGTGAAATCAGGGGAAAATCAGGATTGCCAGTAGTGGGATACGAGGTGAACAGACAATGGTGGGAAAGCAAGTACTCAATACCCAGCTTTATTCCTCTGGAGTATGTGGATAGTGATCAGCTCAATGTGGATGGGCTTATTCCGCAAGACTTTGCGCTAATGTTCTGCTACTTCAACGACGGCCGCGCGTTTAGAGAGTATGTGCAACGTTTTAGGTATGCAGATTAAATGGCGTTGAAGATTTCACAAAGGTATCCAATTCTTGATTTACTTTACAGGGGATTGATGATAATTATTATTGGGCCTGATGATGGCTCAGGCAGGCACACGGATCCCCAGCCCTTTACCGCCGACTTTGGCCAATCCGGTTGGATGCTGGTTAGGCAGCAAGAAATCAAGAACACCAAAGACTTTATAGCCATTTATTTAAGAAATCCAGCATAATAAAATAGATTGTTTTTTAGTCATGCAGCTTAAATTAGCTTTCCAATGTGCTGATTACTGATCCCTTTGAATAAGAGTCGAATTCAGTATTTAAATTTTAACAACAAAACTCGTTTTCCGTGTTTCAGTTATTTATTTACTTAGTTATTACAATTTTTTTATTTTTCTGAAAACGTTTCGATGTTTTTATCATCTTTCAGAACAAGATGAAGAAACAAACTAAAAATTGGCGTAGCATCACCAGGTGTAGAATGAACTGATGATGGTAAAAAAAAAACATTTTCAGAAAAATTTTAAAATTGTAATAACTATGTAAATTAATGACTAAAACCCCGGTTGGTTGTAAAATTTTGAGTACAGTCAAGAAAAGTAGCACCGTAGTATTCACTTATGATAAATTATCAGCGGTTGATTATTTATTTACTTACACAAAGTGTTGCATAATGATGTGGTTTATAGTTTTTTTTATTTGGGTCTTTTGTGCGCAACTAATTGTTTATAACAAAAACTGACCGAAACTGTACAGAAAAACCGCTTTTAGAAGTTACCCTACCTGTTGTAATTTTTTCGCGCTTTGCTATGATGATTGTTTGGCTACAAGACGTCATTACCAATGGAGAAAAATCATTAGTGTGGCACGCGGGAACCCTGTCATTTTGGTGAAAAGTCACGTGAATGACAGAACTCTGACGTCGCTGTTTGTAAACAACTCCAAATTCGGATTTTTCAGTTTATTTCAAAACACATTTTCTGCCACTAATTGAGAGACACATTCAGCGCTTAAGAATCATTCAACTGGTAAGTCTGCTTGGGAGGAGCTTGAAATATAGCTTAGTTTTAGTTTAGATTAGCAACTTAACCTCAAACTATTTTGCTTGCCCAGTTATATTTTATCATTTCTATTTCTTGTTCGGTACTTTTGCTGTTTCTCTCTGGAGCCTAAAGGCGACTTTTTTGGCAAAGGTACTGGGCTCCAAGTGAATGGTAAACTATTTTACAATCCAAACCCTTGATGGATATAGACCAAACACTAATTGTTTGCCTCATCAGGTCTGGTTAATATGCGTTCACCAAAAGTGCAGCAATACCTACAGATAAAGGATAACAATTCCTTTGTGTGGGCCAAGATTCGTGGTAGGTCTTCAACCGGGGTACATAGAGCGATTTGATTAAATTCATTATTATTTGCCCATAGGTTCCAGCTATTGGCCAGCAATAGTAGTGAAGGACAATTCGAATATACCTTTGAAAGCGCCTGAGAACAAGCAGTGGGTGTACTTTCTCCACACGCACAATTATTATTGGGTGAAGAATGAGAATATGAAGCCCTACAAAAAGTTCAAAGAGCAGTTTCGAAAAAAGCGAACTGACTGTGCTATGAACGAAATGGATGATATTATTAGTGAGTGGAGGTTAGCAGCAGTTGTGCTGAGTAAATTAGTGCCGCCGGTTGTTTTAGGAAATGTGACCATCGATGCCGGCTATAAAATCGCCTTAGTTCCATATGAGCCCAGTGCCTCTTCCAGGATAAAACGATCAAACACCAAGTCACCCAAAGTAAATAACACCCAAGCAAGAAGAACACCTCGGTAAGTTACCAGGATGGAGATTTGTAAAGAAATCTAACCAATTTGCTTTGCAGAGTGCCTACTCCAAGACATATTGCTGCAGACGTTGACTGTAAAGTAGTAAAATCGAAACAGTTTTTTGGCTTTTTAGCTGGCAGCATTTATTCGGAAGGCATTATCAAGGTAATGCACTAAGCGAGCCAGTAAATCAGTCAATCATAGTTTCTCTATTGCAGAATCTCATAAATGCTCAGCACAAACTGTGTGTTTGGAGCATAAACGCGAATTTGAGCAAAAGTTTGCAGAGTTATGCAATTAAGCGGCGCTCGTTTCTCACCGTCTGCACTTCACCTAGAGAGGTGGTAAGTTCAAAGTTTATTTATAATATGTACGAATGGGAAATTTACTACAAACTTAAGGGTGGCTACTCTATGTTGTGTAGAAGTTTCAAGTCTTCATTTGATCTAGATTGGACGGTGTAATTTTTGGCGGCGAAAAGTCGAATTTTAAGCAGAATTTAAAAAAATAGTTTTAAGGATGGTTGCTCTATGTTCTGTAAAAAGTTCAATCCTCCAGCTGCTTTACTTTAGAGAAAGAAAAGTAAAAATTTGCCTGCTCTTTGAAAGGAATCTACATGTTTTGTACGTGTATAAAATACAGGATTTTTTAGGTAAGAAATTCAAGTATGACATTTAGCAATATCGGCGATCCAGAGAAAATCAAAGAGGTTTTAGAACAGTTAGGCGTAAACAACCCCATGGATAATCTCCTTGTAGGGGCAAGTTTCATTGAAATGTCTTGTTACGATCCCGAGACTGTATTCGACAATTTCCACGCCACAATTAAAGAAAAGAAAATCAAATACCTTGAGGCAATGGTAACGTGGATTTGCTCAATTTATGCTCAATTTTAGAATATTTTTTCCAGTTGCAGTGTACCAGTCAGGAGGCCCTCGATGGGGAAATCGCGATTCTGGCAGCAGGTTCACAGCCTCTATTCGAAAGTTGCCAGTCCTGTTTCGACTCCATTAGCAGGGTATTATTTACCGCAATGTATGTATAAAGTTGCAAACTAACCGATTGCATTTTCAGACTTCACGTTTTTTGGGGCCACTTGGATCAGCGCGCAAAATGCATCTGCTCTTCCAAATGATGAAAGGCGTGTTTATTGCCACTTTGGTTGAGGGTTTCACTATGGCCGAACGAAGCTGCTTGGAGATGGACGCCTTTAATGATGCACTGCAGGCCACTTCGATGTCCAACGACTATTTGAAAAGTCAGCGGTTGTTTTGTGGCTGGTTGCCGGCTGTGCTAATGAGCGGTGTGTTTCAGATAAAGCTGACGCTATAGAGATAAACAGAATGGCGCTGCCCAAACATACCCAGGACCCGATAGAGCAGATGCAAAGCGAAATTTCTCAAGGCTTAGAATTGGCTGATAAACACTTGCACCCCATGCCCCTCACATCTTATACTAATCAACTATTTAAAAATGCTCGACGATTAGAACGCGACGGTAAAGATGCTGTCAGCATTTTCCAAACGAGTTATTAAGTAGGTCATTTTATTTTTACTAATTTTTCTATTAAAGTTACATTTTCACACGTGCGTATCCAGGAAAAGTATTCAACAACGTTCTGTTTTGTTTTTGTTTTATTACCCTCCAAAAGCTCTGGGCGGCACAAAAACTGAATAATCGGACGGAGTAACACGATTTTTTGGCAGAAATTATTTATTTACTGTGTTAAACTTGCGGAAACAGCGGTAAATATAAATAGTAGGTCAGGACCACTTATTAATAAACAAGATTCACAACTTTTAGGCCCTTCAGGCTGCATTCGGGGGTATTATTAACTTTCAAAACAGGAAAACTGGAAATTTACAGCAGAAAAACAATAATGATTGGTATATGTGGACATTCAAGCCTGAATGAATAATGTTGAAAACATGAGCGAAAAAAGTTCAAATTGGTAAATCTGGGCAGTTCCTACTGAGAATAAAAACCCCTTTAGTTTAGTGTCATTGATAACAGGAAAACACCAGTAATTGATCTGGCACCTGGAAAGAAAGAATAAAATGTGTGCTAAATGCAACAAGCTAATTGAAAAACACATTAAAAGCTCCGAAACAATCGACATTTTTAAGCTCTTTTTGACCGGTGACGATGTTATCACTTATTACTTGGCTTCATCTATGGATGTTATCTTCTTTATTGTAAGCCCAAACGCTTTAGCTAATTGGAAAACGCATCAAAAGGTGTGAAATCAACATTTCCGTCTTTTAAGCAATTCTTGAGTTTTCACAATTAATCGACGAAATTCAAATCTCCCGCTGAACACAATTCGTAAAAAAGTAGAAGATTCCAATCTATAACCTCTTCATCTGCACAGATCACAGAGAACCTATGTGATCTTCTGTGGATCTGTGGAATGTTCTTTCATTTGCGTCAGTCCATGTGTTTGCAGCAATTTGAGGAAAACGTGATTTTCTTCAGTTTAAAACACCTTTAAACGAACCGTATTGAAATGGCACTGTATAATTTTAAGAGAATTGCGGTAGTGCCCACTGCCAAGGTCAGTATTCATTGAATCTCATCCCGAAAACCCTTAACCTCATTTTGTGCATTTCCAGGACTTTGTAGATATTATCTTATCTAAAACCCAACGGAAGACCCCCACAGTAGTGCACAAGCAATACAAAATAACCAGAATCCGCTCGTTTTATACGCGCAAAGTGAAATTTGCCCAGCAAAGCTTTCACGATCGACTAACACAGATCTTGACCGAATTTCCCAAACTGGACGATGTGCACCCGTTCTATGCGGATTTAATGGACGTTCTGTATGATAAGGACCATTACAAACTGGCCCTGGGACAGATTAACACCGCCAGGCATTTAATAGATAATGTTTCCAAGGATTATGTGAGGCTGCTGAAGTACGGAGATTCGCTGTATAGATGCAAGCAACTGAAGAGGGCTGCGCTGGGTCGGATGGCTACCATAATGAAGAGACAGGGCTCGAACTTGACATATCTGGAACAAGTGAGGCAGCATTTGGCCCGATTGCCTTCAATCGACCCGAACACCAGAACCATCATAATTTGCGGCTTTCCTAACGTTGGCAAGTCTTCATTCATCAATAAAATCACCAGGGCAGATGTGGAGGTACAACCCTATGCCTTCACGACGAAGAGTCTCTATGTGGGACACACCGATTATAAATATTTGCGCTGGCAAGTGATAGACACTCCTGGAATTTTGGATCACTCCCTGGAAGAGCGAAATGTTATCGAAATGCAAGCCGTTACTGCACTGGCCCATCTCAAGGCTTGTGTATTGTACTTCATGGATTTGTCTGGTAAGTCTCCAGATGTCTATAAAACAATCATGATTTTACTGGGCCATAATGTTCCAGAACAATGTGGGCATACTTTGGACGAACAAGTGAAGTTATTCGAGTCAATAAAGCCGCTTTTCGCCAATAAACCGCTGATAATTGTGGCAAACAAAGTCGACATTTTGAGACTTGAGGAACTAACCCCTGAACGGCGAGCCATTTTGGAGGGTATTGAAGCAGACCCCGAATTGAACATCCTGGAAATGTCCACTGTAACAGATGAGGGAGTGATGGAGGCGAAAATTGAGGCGTGCGAGAAACTGCTGGGTTACCGGGTTGACCAAAAAATGAGGTCCAAAAAGGTACATTTTGATTGCCTATCGGACAGTGATGGGAAAATGATCTGCCCAGCTCATATTTCGAAAATTCAATCAATTATCCAGATCTTCCCATCAATCATCAATGTTTTACTCTCATGAGCGCTGTTATTTTAAGGTCGATGGAATCCTTAATCGTCTGAATGTGGCCATGCCGGTAAGCCGCGATAACAAAGAGCGCCCCCCTTGTATTCCTGAGAGTGTTCTGCTGAAGAAACGCGAGCAGGCTGAAAAGAGGAAGCGCAAGCTGGCTAGGGACTTTGAACTGGAAGCTGGAGATGACTATACTGTCGACCTGGCCAAGGAATACACCACCATACCAGAAGGCATTTAAAACCATCCCGATTCGTGCCAAGTGATTAACTTCTTAATTTTATTTTTCCAGAGGAGAGGCACGATATTATTCCGGAAATTTGGGAAGGGCACAATATTGCCGACTATATTGACCCGGATATATTCGAAAAACTCGCTGAATTGGAGCGGGAGGAAGAACTGCGCGAAGAAACCGGAATGTATGTCGTTCCGAAGATTGAGCTTGATGAAACAATGCAGGAAATAAAGAAATTGGCCCAACAAATCAGGTAAGGTTTTGTGCAAAAGTCTGTGGAAATCCCAATTAGGCATGTTGTTATTTTAGGGATAAGAAGGTAATTCTCAAGGAAGAATCAAAGATCAACAAGCAAAGCAGGAAGCCAGTGATACCACGCACGGCTGGAGCAAAGGTGCGTCTTCAAATCCCTTGAAACCTGCAAACAATTTGCATCATTGTGCTTTTTAGGTTCGAGATCGTTCAGTCGCCAAGCTGAGGAAAAGCATGGAAAGTCTGGGAGTTGACATGTCTGGAACTTCTAAGGCCAACTTCACGCAAACCAAACAAAGAGCCCGATCAGTGGGGCCGGTGGCGAAGAAAGCCCGCATGGACGTGGTGGTTGATGGTAGATCCAGAGGCCTATCTAAACCACCGAGAAACGAACAAGGCATTAAGGATGTGGCGGTAAGTTTATGCGTTTCTGCAGGATTTTGGCGGTTTTTATCACTTTTAATTTATAGATGAAGAACAAGCTGGCTAGAATTGCCCATAGGGCCATTGCGAAGAAAGTGGGCAGACTGGGTCTCAAAGGGGAGGCCGATCGGTTCATTGGAACTAAAATGCCTAGACATCTGTTCTCCGGCAAACGTGGAAATGGAAAAACTGATCGAAGATAATTTTGTTCACGTGTTCAAGTAATTTCACTTTTTGTTAATTCATTCTTCATAAAGGTGAACATTTTCCGTATTTTATTAGAGCCGATGTATTTAAATAATTTAAAAAATTCAATCAAGATGGAAATTGCTCAATTATTACAACGTATTAATTTCCAATTAACCTGCTATTTCCTTTCCATGTGTGAGTCCTCAATGTCCAGAGCGCTGCTCAATAAATTAACTAAAGGTTTTTTATACAGGTTTCCTTGTCGCTTATATAACTAACTGAAGGTAGAATGAGCAAGTGGCGTGTTAAAATGGAAGACAACCCGCCATCCCAACCTCAATCTTCTCACTGTTCTTCAATCACTGCAGTGGCGCTGTTAAATGTAAACATGGAGAGGCTTATTCAAATTTTAAGTGTTTTTCTCCTCATTTCCTTATTATTCATTAATTCCAGCACTGGATACAAAGTGATCAAGAAGTTTGAGTACAAGTTTTCGTTCAAGCCTCCCTATTTGGCGCAAAGAGATGGTTCGGTGCCCTTTTGGGAGTACGGAGGCAGTAAGTACGAATTTATTACACGTCAGTAGAAACCTGCAGCAATCATCAACCTGCTGTGCTGCGTTTTTCCGTTCCACCACAACGGAATTATTGCGTGCAGTTTGTCGTAGATTGCGCCAAATGTTGGACACGTATATAACCTAGAATAGTACTTGAAGGATAATTTTTAAAAAATTGTAAATTCTTGTATGAAATGTATGAAAACTTTGCTAAAAATCCATTGGGAAGTGTTGATGTTAATGGGTTTTGCACAATTGCCACATTTTCCGGTCCGTTGGGGTTGCAAAGGGCTAACCAAGTTAGGGCTATTTCTTGGGGTTCCATGCTCCATTCAGCTCAGCCTCTATCATCTGAAAGCATTTGATTCCCTCTAGATGCCATAGCGAGCTCTGATAATGTGAGACTGGCTCCATCACTCAAAAGCCAAAAAGGTGCAATATGGACGAAGAATCCCGTTCCTTTCGACTACTGGGAAGTGGATCTTCTGTTCCGAGTAACCGGCAGAGGAAGAGTGGGCGCTGATGGCTTGGTAAGAGATGTGCCTGCTTGTCCCATAACACATCAAATTTTCTAAAAATTATTGTCGGTTTTAGGCCTTTTGGTATACCCAAAGCAAAGGGGCTTATGATGGCGAAGTCTTTGGATCGTCCGACAAATGGAACGGTCTAGGCGTTTTCTTCGATTCATTCGACAATGACAACAAGCACAATAATCCCTACATTTATGCGGTGCAAAATGATGGCAATAAGCTGTTTGACCATCAAAAGTAATTAGGCTATTAATGAAAAATAAGGCTTCTGTGGCTTAATTCCTGATATTTCCAGCGATGGGGGCGCACAACAGTTGGGAGGATGCCTTCGAGACTTCCGCAACAAACACTTTCCCACCAGAGCGAAAATCAACTATCACAACAATGTTTTAACGTTGATGTTCAACAATGGGCTGAACAGCAATGAGGACGACTTCGAGATGTGTTTCCGGGTGGAAAATGTAGTTCTGCCGAAGAATGGCTACTTTGGGGTGTCGGCCGCCACTGGAGGCCTGGCTGACGATCATGATGTTATCCATTTACTCACCAGCAGTTATGGGGCTCCGGGAGCAACCGCCCCCGAAACGCCAGGTAGGACGAACAAGGCGTGTTTTAAGTGGTAACAAGAGAGTTTGGTTTTCGTGGCTTTTGCGTGAGGCTGGTGAATTCTTCGGGCTTTCAGTCCGAGCAAACCCGCCTTTACATAAAATTTTGATAAATCAAGTAGCGAGAGCCAAGGAAAACGAAGAGTTTTCTCTTTGAATCTGCCTTCTCATCCTTTCTAGCTGATTAATGACCGTTTTCTCTCAGTTTCTCCGGAAGATCATGCTAAACTGCAGCAGGAGTACTTGGACTATCAAAAACAGCTGGAGCTTCAAAAGGAGGAGTATAGAAAGGAGCATCCCGGTGATGTGAGTTGCGGACCCATTTTCACTTGCGGATGCGTTCTATGGTCGATTTTCGTTGCAGAAAGCGGCTGAGATGGAGGACTTCTATGAATCAGATAGCCAGCGTGAGCTGAGGCAGATCTTCCAGGGCCAGAACCAGATATTTGGCGAGGTGAAAGAGCTGAGCCGAAAGCTGGACGAAATTGTTGGCAAACAGGTGAGTTAGTGTAGTTTAATTCGAGTGATTTACTTCAGTTAGCTGAATGAATCGATGATACGCAACAGTGTGGAATTATTTTAGAATTATTTCTTTAAATGATCCTTCCACGCTGAGGAATTTACTCCTAACGTTTCACTTTCACGCACAGCTAACAGCTTCAGAGTTGTGTTTGCTTCGACCTCGTTGTGCACACCCAGCGCAAACATACCCCTACTTCTTGCTAATTTCTTGTATTTTTAGTCATGCTTAGCTTTCTTAACCATTCAATTAGTCGTTCGTGTTTCAGGAACGAACAATGAGTTTGATATCGCAACAAGCTGGAGCAATTGGAGCGAATATTCCGCCCCCACCGGCCGGACAGCCGCCTCAGGCCGGCGGCTACGTGGACACCATTCGGCGACACGAAGTGGATGCGATATTTAACAATCAAAACCAGTTCCAGAACGCTATAAGCGAAATGAGGTAAGTAATGGATTTGGTTTGATGTTGAGTCCGGTCGTAAAAATCACAATTTACAGGCAATTCGTGTTGGAAATCAAACAGAGAATCGACACAGTGATTAATAATCAAGCGAAAGCTCCCACTGCTCAAGTGCACGCTGTGGGCTTTGATACGCAATCGTTGGTGAACGAAGTGAGAGATGGGCTCAATCAGGTGAAAGTGAATGTGGCACAGGTAGGAACGTGTTCATTTCAAAAGGGTTTTTTGTAGATTGGAATTACAGAGCGTCCTAATTTTTGTGGCAGGTGTGCCAGCACAAATAGGAATTTAAAAATGTTTTAATTATTGCAAGTTTTATTGCACTTAAAACTTGCAAACTGTCTAAATTGTCGTTTGTTGTGCTCCTACCAGTGTCGTGCCCGAAAGTCTCGACCCAACAAACGCATCAGACTTTAAAAAAACGGAAAAGTTGCGCCGAGCGTTACGAGCACGACACTGGTAGGAACACAACAAAGAACCATTCAGACCATTTTTACGTTTTGTTGAGCCGTTCGTGCACGACACTGGTAGCAGAACCACAAACAGTTGGAAGCTTTTTTTGCAGTAAAATAAACAGTGATTTCGCTTGTTTTGGACGCAAAAACACTGTTTCCGCCGATTGTTCAGTATTTCGTATAAAATCAGTGTCTTACCCGAATGTTTAGACTGCGCGCTTAAAATCTTCCACACACACTCATCCTTTAGGCTACTAAATTAGGTCTTGATTAAAATCGTGTTTTAGCTAAACTCTTTCTATTTGTATTTTATACAATTTTGCTCTTTAGCACACCGTTAGTTAAGTTTAGAGCGAATTTTAAAGCACATTCGTTTCTATGCAGGTGTCGGCTCATTTAGGGCAACAATCCAGCTGCCCTACAGTGAATTGCGTGACCTTCACTTCTGTTCTAATCATTGTCGCTGTTCAGCTGGTCCTTATTCTCGGTTACAACATTTATAGGTAAGTTAATTCCCATAAAAGTTATCTTGTGCTTTGGCAGTGATCTAATAGTCCTTCTTTCATGTGCCCCGTCCCGGTCTCTCTGCAGTTTGCAATCAACAGCAATCAATCTCGCTTATGCCAGTCAAGTTTCGAATATTTGCGAGCAACCACTTCTTCGTGCTTCCTACTCTTCGGCACCCTTAAATGTTGCCCCAGAGGATAAGTTGCAAAACGCGATATTAAGCAACCCCCGAGATGTGTCCCAGGCATGATTTGTTTGGGCGTCTTTTGGTGTTAGCTGTTCGTAGAACATTCCCTTTGAAGCCCGATTTCGGATGCCTCCATATGGACGATGAGGCCAGAGATTTAATTCTCTTGTCCAGTCGGGAATTTTATTATTCGGCATTTTTTCTCACAGTCTGGTTTATGAGCAATTGTCGATTGTGGTCGTGTGATACAACCACTGTATCGTCCGCATATCTGGTTGTAGTAGAATATTACTCAAAGCAGAGATCCTCTATTCCCACACATCTTCCCTTCATCCATCCCTCAAATGGAATCGAAAACATTGTTTATGACTGTTTGTTTTTAGGGACAACAGAGACAACCAAGCCAAGAAATTCTATTAACAATCGACTGTTAATAGTCGGATTTGATGGGCGCTTGTAATGTTTTTTTATTCGTGTTTTTCTGGGCAAAATTCATTATTTCACTCGTTTGCTCATGGCCAATTTGTGATTATCCTCCAACATACAAATGACAAAACTAATTGAGATTTTTTAGCGCATTTTATATGGATTTAGGCGATCTAGTTTTTATGTATATATTAATGATTAAGCAATGGAAAAATGAAGAGAATATTTTGAGTGTTTTAAGGTTTAGATCATCTTCAGCAGCAGGTGCAGTCTTCCAATTGCGCAGCCCTACTGTTTACATTATTTATTTCTACGTTTTGTTACTTTATCTTTTCAACACACGTTTTTTTCCCAATATATTTTAGTGTCTTTTTTACGGTTGTCACCCATTTTTGGTCCCACTTTATTTCAGGTMAAGAGAACGGTAACAAAATGCAGTATCAAACAGTTTCGCGCACAAGAATAGTTTATACCGGGTGGCTTTTTAAAATCTTGTTATSGTGAAATATTTCGGAAATTAGTGATCCATGAAGATTGACGCGCYCTGAAGTCAATAGGTCGAACTAAAATCGACAAAAGCGCCCTCTGAAGTGAATAAGTCAAACTAAAATCGACARGAGCGCCCTCTGACGTGAATAGGTCAAACTAAAATCGRCAAAAGCACCCTCTGAAGTGAATAAGTTGAACTAAAATTGGCAAAAGCGCCCTCTGAAGTGAATAAGTCGAACTGAAACTCGAAAAAGCGCCCTCTGTAGTGCATAAGTAGAACTAAAAATCGWCAACAGCGCCTCTGTAGTTGTATAAGTCGAACTAAAATCGACAAGAGCGCCCTCTGACGTGRATAGGTAAAACTAAAATCGACAAAAGCGCCCTCTGAAGTGAATAAGCCAAACTAAAAATCGACAACAGCGCCCTCTGTAGTGAATAMGTCAAACCAAAATCGACAAGAGCGCCCTCTGWMGTGAATARGTMAAACYAAAATCGACAARAGCKCCCTCTGAMGTGAATARGTMRAACTAAAATCGACAAGAGCGCCCTCTGTAGTGAATAAGTCGACAAGAGCGCCCTCTGAAGTGACTAAGTCCAACTAAAATTGTCAAAAGCGCCCTCTCTAGTGAATAATCCGAACTAAATTTCACAATGGCGACCTCTATAGTGAATATTTCAAAGTAAAAGTCGAAGTTGGAATTATTCACTTCAGAGGGCGCTTTTGTCGATTTTAGTATGACCTATTCATTTCAGAGGGCGCTTTTGAAGATTTTAGTTCGACTTATTCACTTCAGAGAGCGCTCTTGTCGACTTATTCACTACAGAGAGCGCTGTTGTCGGTTTTAGTTCGACCTATTCACTTCAGAGGGCGCTTTTGCCAATTGCAGTTCAACTTATTCACTTATGAGAGTGCTTTTGTCGATTTTAGTTTGGCGTATCAACTTTATTACAGGAAAAAGGTAGCGGGAACGAAAAGTAATAACAACAAACAGTTTTGCGCACAAGAATAGTTATATATTTCTTAAACATTTCTTCAATTTACTTTTCGTACAGTTGATTTCTTGCGCGCCAGTTTCCTTCTTACGAAAAGTATTTTGTTATTTATATATTTTTTTCGTGTTTTGGTTTTTCTTAATAATTTGTACTTAAACTCAACTAGGTCTAGCTACATACAATAAACAACGCCTATTTAAAGCTACGAAAATTTGAAATAAGTTACATAAACAGACAACATCTTAAAAACTATATATGCCAATATAAATACCTAAATCTACGTTGCGAGCTTTGCGGAATACGTTTACTCTCGATACGGTTGCAAAGAGAGTTCCGTATTCCATAAAACAGCAATTTTTGCGTCGCGCCTTTTAGCAACTGTTGGAAATTCTGGTGAAATGCGCAACAGAGCGAGCCAGCCAACAAGGGTGGTCCTGAATTAGCAGAAAAAAATGACCATCTGGATGTTAAACGACACAATTGCCATTTCAGCATGGCGAGACAACGCGGGAAATGAAAAGAAAAATTGTATCCCTCGAAAAAACAGCGTTTTACACACACACAAAAAAACAAAAATTATACAGTTTGCTTATTCAGTAATTATCAGATATATCACAATGTTTTACTCGGGATGGTGTTTCTATGTGGTTTTTGCAGTTGTAGGTGGCATTTCCATTATTGTGCCCTAATAATTCTTAAAAAAAAAATGCCCTTGCTTCGAAAAGTTTTGGCAAAAACCTCGGCTAGAAACGGCCCGCTAAAATTAATATTACTTATCTTGAAGCGCTAATATTTACAATAACACATTTACACATACGTCTATGTGATACAAATATGATACAAAAAGAAAAATGCCATTATTTATTCGAATTTCTCGCAATGGGGCACAGCAGCTCGGCGTCCATGAAAGTTGGACGCATTTGGTGACTGAATGGCTCAGAAATAACCAAACGATACTGAAAGGAACCAGAATTTAATTCGAATTCGATCAAAATCATTAGGCCGAATAGAGTACCAAAGTGGTTTTTTATTGAACTTGAGCTAGTAGAGTTATTTCTGAATCGTCCAGCTGTCCACTAGGTAGTGACTTTGCAATGCTCGAATACGGGCCCCACCCAAATACGCACAACTTCATGTTTCTTGTGGAAATAAGTGGAGACTGGCGTTGTTATGAATAGAAATAAAACAGCCTATTGTGTAAACTACTAGGAAAATTAATAAAATATTCAGTTTCGAGTTCGGCAAATATCATAAAACTACTTGTAGTTAAAGAAAACCCCGTCCTATATACAATTAAAACTACTATACAATATTGTCAATGCGTTAATCGCCTTTTCGTGGATTGTAAAAAATTGTACATATGTAAGATATATACGTATAAATATAAAATGGTCTATGTACAGCTAAACTAAAACTTTTTTTTGGTTACTTTTAATTTTAATTGTTTTTTGTTCGTTTTGCCTGCCTCCACTTACTGCAGCGAGTTGCCTATTACAGAACCTCGGCAGTTATTCACATTAACCAACTATATACAATGAATGATTTTTTTTTGTTTTGATTATTTACATTTAGTTTGGCGGTTTTTTTTTCAAATTATTATCAACCCAACTGTTTCATAGACTTACCTAAGTTATATACATTTGTACACTATTATTGTCTTTCGGGCTTTTTCCGACTGTTCCCTCTGAAAGTTTGGTGCAGGCCACCGCCGCCGCCGGAGCTCACGCCACGCTGATGGTTGCTGTTTCTGCGCCATACTTTGCTTCTGTTTGAGGCATTTGAGCTTCTTCCCTGGTAGCCGACGTTGGGTGAATGGTCGCGCGATGGACGATCTGAGGCCTGAAAAACCACCAATTTAAATCACTGAAAAAGTCGCGCCTCATTTCCTCCTTACTTCAGAGCTACCTCCGCTTTCCTCGGCACTGCTAGTGCTGCCCGTACTAGATGATCTCGACGGCTTTGACTGGGTGTTCCCAACCAGCCCGGTGGATAGCGGGGGCCCCATTAAAGTGATTCGGGTACCCTCCTCAATACGGCGCCGATGTTGCACCACTTTATCGCTAACACGGACTATGCGCCCCAAAATGCTCTGTCGGTTGCAGTCGTTGTACGAAGACAGCGGATGCACCACGTTTGTTAGGATCGAGTAAGCGTACTCGAAAGCTTTTTTAACCTGGAACAGTGATTAGTCCTGCATGAAACGCAGCCCCTTTCCCTTACAATAAGAGTAGAAAATGAGCTGAAATGTTTGTGAGATACCTTTTTCTTCTACCTAAGATGCATAAGCATGCAATCAGAAATCGTAACCTTTGAAAAGAAAAGAGACCCAAAAAAGTCTTGGAAACTTCCCGATAGAGCCTTTTCCTGATAGGGTGTTATTAAACAGTTACAACCATCAAAAATGAGAGGGCCAAAATGTTCCATGGATTCACAGGCATTTTCTGTCTCGGGAGCTTTTCAGCCAAATTCTTCCTCAATTTATTTCTGACAAAAGATTCTCGATCTCCAACGAAACACAAAAGATTCATCACAATGGAAACTTTCAACTCAATTCCTAGGTTACTAGGAAACACCTAAATAGTCGTATAAAACTTTTTGATAGAACGTATCCAGAACTGTGCATAGTGAGGCTTTATTAAAATTCTCGAACCTTCAACAAGTTCCGTTGTTTCACAGACACTTTCTCACATAAACGGCAAAACATTCCGAACGTGCCTCGCAACGGTTTGTTCGATAAGCAGTTTTTCCCAGTAAGTTTTTGTAGAAGTTTCTAACCTCTATACAGATAGGGGTTTTTCTGACTTGATTTCTGAATCGAGACAGAAACATTGAAATCTTCAACATTCCGAGTGAGAGTTAATTTTTAAATTCCCAAGCTCCAAAAATTAGAAGTAAAAGTCGTGTAACCTTGAACAAGTCCAGTATTTTCTCTCATAAACGGCAAAAAACGTCCGAAGGATCTTTTCGATCGCCACTTTTCCTCAATAAGTTTTTACAGAACTTTCAAACCCATAAAAAGATAAACATAACATTTTCAGTTATAACTCGAGACCCGTTAGAAATAGCTGAAAAGCCAAAAGGACTTTTCCCATTGAGCGTCGCACTAACCGTTTTTTCCTTGTGGGGTTTTATTTAAAAAAATCCTAACAGCCAAAAATTAGAAGAAAAATTGTGTAAACTTTGAAGCAACTCCGGTCGTTTCAAAGACACTTTCTCTCAGACAAGGCAAAAAAAAGTCCGAAGAATCTTTTATTTAACTTCTAAAGAGATTAAGGAAAAAACACTGAAGTTTTGCATTTCTCTACATTTCCATTTTTAAATCCTCGTGTCGTTTCAAAGTGGTTTGCTCTCAAAAACGACAAAAAAATCCAACAAAAGCCTTTCCTCAATATATTGTGGAAAGAAGGTTTTATCTCTACAGAGATAGAAGGAAATAATACCGAAGTTTTGAACATACTTCCACATTTCCATTCGTTTCTCGGAAATGGTAGAAAATACCTGAAAAGTCTAAAAGGACATTTTCGATAGAAGGTTCTTTAGAAGAAGTTCTAAAGAACTGCTTTTCCTTGGTGAGGTTTTATTTAAATTTCCTAAGCTCCAAAAAGAAGAAGCAAACATTTGAAAAAGTCCCGTCGCTTAAAAGTGATGTTCTCCCAAAAACGGTAAAAAAATTCAAAGAGCTTTAAAAAGATGTTTCTTAATAGATTCCCGAAGCTTTTCCAAAGCTCCAAAGAGCAAAAATGCCGAAATTTTTAAAATCTTTCCACATTTTCATTCATAACTACCATTCTATTGTGACGACAGGTTGTGTTGGATTTTTCCGGGCAATTTTTTCATTGTTACGCACAATAAATAAACCAAATAATCAAGTACGTTTCAAGTGGGTCTTACTCGAAATTAGTACCTCGCATAATGATGCTCTCTCTTAATGAAGATGTTTTATTATTTTTGCGCATCCACCAATCTGTCCCAATGTGCCTGGTACAGAGTTTTAACTATGTAATTAGCGAATTAACTTACTAGAGCGAACGAAGGGACGATCGCCCCACAGGACTTTAATGTGAAATTTATCGCCTCTAAAAACCCAGAAGCCAAAGTGTGAAAATCAGACTCTCGACCGCAAAACCTCATTTATTAACTGAGCAATCGGAAGAGTGGTTGAATCACCCTGTATGCAAACCAGAATCGATTCCCTCAGCTGGTTACTTTTCCTATTGTTCTCGATCACTTATAGATATAAACGAAATCAATTAGTGGAGTGATTTGAATGTGAAATGGAATGCAATGTTTATAGAAATTAGATAATCCAATAACAAAATAATCGAGATAGAGTGTTGTCGTCACAGGCAAAACTACTTACCAACAGAATTCCATAGCTGCTCCGCCCAATGTCGTTTGAGGGTTGCAACGGATCTTCTATGCACAGCATGCTGGGCCGATGGCCATCCACCATACCTTTCCGCATTTCTTCCTGAAATCGCAGTTATTTGACACCAGCATTTACTTGGGGATTGTTTCAGCTTGCACTTACTTTGCTGATGTACATTCCGCCGTCACGTATTCGAATTCCTGTATGAATGAAATTGAACTTTCGACCATAAAGCTCGAAGAACTCGATAAGCAACACGCCAAGATTGGCGTTTGCTTGTCTAACACCGTCCTGTCGAGGATGCAGCTGAAATAAAGAAAACCCTGTAAAAATCACCGCTGGAATAGTTGACTAGAAGCGACTTACTTGCAAGAAGCTGATGCACATCAGTATGAGACTGTAGCTACTAATGCCCCCAGTGAAGACTTCATTAAGGTCTCGCTCCAGGAGAAATTGCTTGAGCACATAAACTAACTTGGCGAGTACGGGGAACTGTTCGATGTAAGTCTTGATCAGTTCCGCACTTTTCACGCCGTTGGACATGTTGAAAGAGATGTCGACCTACACAAGGCGCAAAGAGTGTTGTGTCATCGACTATCGACGGTAGGGGTAGGTATTTCTGATGTGGAACTCACCCTGATTTCAGTCTTTTTGTCTACGAGTTTAACGATGGGGACGGAGGCCTTATCCAGTACCTTTATACTGTCCTCCTGAGCGACGCCACGTTCGAGAAACTCCTTCTCCAACGTGCGCAAAGGAAGATTGGCCCATTTTCCTGCAAGCAATCAATGTTTTTCAACTAATTCATACACGCAGCAGTGGGAAGAGTTAAGCTTTCGCGGTCCATTGCCTGGAAACTGGTGAGTTTTCCAGGGGCGAAAGTCTAACTCTTTCGAGGTTCCGAATAGTTTCCGGCAAAAAAAAATACTGATGGGTTTTTCGGGGCTTTTAGACATTATGACTACTCCAATATGGCCGAAAAGCCAGAGAAGCTCATCAGTTATAAGTGATGGATGGAAATAACCGAATTTTGCAATAGGATGCATTTCATATTAACATATCTCTTCGCGACAGTGAAACCCACCCACTATTGCCTTGTACCACTCTATATGAAGGAATCTTTAAGTGATTTTGAACAAGCTCCATTTTGTGCCTAGTTCAAGTGATTTTTCATAACGATTGGGGCAATTTAATTCGATTATTTCGACCACTTGTACACAATTCAAGTAATTACCAATGACCACCAGATCAATATCACTAGTTGGTAGGTAGAGGCCGGTTCGGTATGAGCCGAAGACTTCAACTTGAGCCTCAGGCCACTTGGACAGTATAATGTCTTCGATCCGGTTGACGACTTCAGCCCTCACTTTGTGCTCCGCCTCTGTAGGGCTCATGTAATGGTAGAAATGTTCAATTTCTTGATGGAGACTGTAACCAATGCAAAAAGCCCGATCACGTTCATGAACCAACCAGCAATCGGTTTACCCAATTCGACTTACTGTAAATACAGTCTGTACAATTTCAGCTCTTCCGATTCACAGTCGTTAGCGAAATACGCCGTATTTAGGCGCATTATGTCAAATTTTATTTCACTAAACCGCGAGTAAAATAACACATTCAACGAATCTACACACACACAACTGCAAGTAGAATTCGTTGGCTTTATAAGGTATGTGAGGTTTTTATGGAATTTTCAATTCGTTTAGTCGAATGAAAAATTCCCTGTCGTTTTTTAAACGCCTTTATTGAATCGGCCGTTGGAAACGTAGCTGCGTACTTGAAAGTTTTCATTATAAACCGCTGTTATTAGCCCAAGTTGGGCAGCTTCTGCGACTGTTCTAATTCTCATATGTCCAACTTCCTTTTCCTGTATGCGTTTTTATAAGAGAAACTTGACTACAAAACAGGGCAAAATTGTCAGTTGGCAAGAGAACAGAAGTATTTTGTTTGCGCAAAAGCCATGAAAACTACAAGGTTTTACGAAGAGCCAAAAATGTTCACAGCTTTAAAACTTAAAAAAAAATACCACTCTAAAACGGGTTTTCAGTGCGATTCTTTTCCCCATGGTTGAAAGAAAGCTGAAAGAAACATGTATTTTTTGATATTTTCATTTGCACCTCCAAAACCATCGATTAGATATGGATAATTTTTAAGACATTTCCGAAAGAGAGATAAAAGAAAAATGTCCAATTTTAGTCGAAGTTCCACACCTGATATCTCGGAAACGATTAAAATTCTAGAAAAATTATTAGAATATTTTCGATAGAGCGTCTTCAGTGCTGTCTTTCTCTTGACATGCTTTGTCAGCAATTCCTAACGTTTAAAAATATAAAAGGCAAAACTGCTCAAGACCATCAATAAACATTAATTAAATTTAAACATAAATTAAAAACTTCTAAGTTTTTAAACAGCCCAAGTTGGGCAGATTCTCTACTTAATTTTTCGCGAATTCAGTCTTATCAATTCGCGAGTTCAACTGCCGATGGCGGCGCTACGAAACCTCAAATTACTCGTAGTCAAGTGACAGTTGAGGCTTGTCAGACTTGTTTATTCATTGTAGTTGATAACATTTGGAACATAAAACAATACGAACACACTTTTCGATATGTCTATTTCTTTAAAAGCTTGCAAAAGGTGATTAGAACAAAACAAATCACAATCAGATGTAAACACCAATGTCAACAAAGCAAGTGTCAAATTTCTACTTAACTTGTGGTTATAATTTTGGCCACCAGGAGGCGCCTGGATTTTTGAACTCGCGAATAACCAAAGCTCAAATTACTGAAAATCAATCCTTGACCTAGTTTGGAGGAGTAGAAAACAACAATTTCCTTAGACTGGCCAGTAAACTAAGAATAAAAGAACAATCTGACAGCATCAGACATCCAGCTTTTGACAGCAATTGTCGATTTTGACACCTTCACAACCATTAACTGCTACTAGTAAATTAAGATGCGAATACAATTCGTATTTAAAGCAATTAAGCCTAAAGTGTAGAGAAAATGGTTGATATGATGTAATATGTAACAGACTTTCGTTGATTTATCAAGCAAAAACTTGCAGATAAACTTGCTTTTGTGCCAGACGGGCAGCAGGACAATGATCCAAAACACTCTTCACAAATTGAGTAACAGTGGTTTGTGGAAAATGATGAGTTTTGGAGTGGCCTGCACAATCTCCCGATCTAAATCCTTTTGAAAATCTTTGGGGGAAGTGGAATTTTCGCACTCGAACGCAAATGTTTCCAAATAAACAAACTTTGATAAAGAAAGTTAGTGAAAACAAACTTTGTTGTTTTACTGTTGCCCAATGATTGTCAGTGTTCCCTTCGGTTTACTTCTCTATTATATTACTTGATTGTATGCCCACAAAAGGAAATGCTCCTTTCGAAATTTCAGTTTTATTGCCAGTTTTCTCAGGTAAGCACCAAAAATACCCACAAAAATTGCTAAAAATATTGTCTATTGGTGTTTTTTTTCCTGAAAATCACTAAACATGGTTTTCGGCTGGTTTAGTTTGGTCGCAACGATGCAACATCTGTTTAATTGAATTAATGGGGCGAGCGAAAAAAAAGCCATAAAAAGTATTACGAATTTGTTATTTATATTCGTATTTAGAGCTGTGATGTAGATGGCAACACCGGACGAAAGCCATCTTATGTCAGACGCCAATAGAAAACGTACGAGAAATGCACATATTGGTTAACAAACCACGTTTTCTGAACGAAAGTCGAAAAATTCGCTTACCCCAAAGCGGCCGCGTCATAATGGAATTTCAATTGGCGCCAAGGGCAGCCACCAGAGTCCGTAATAACGTTGCGATGGAGCGGCCGCTGGCTAGGGCGATTGTCAACCTGAGTCCGTCTCATCCGAGAGAAATTTGCACTTTTGTCCACTTTGCCGTTCATGATTTGTTGATTGAATCCGTTCGTCATTCCATCAGTGTCATTATCCACATCCCTCACGTTCATTTCCTCGATAAAATTCTGGTTTTGCCACACTCCTAGCCACAGGACTTTGGCTGGACCTTCTTGCTCCGGCATCAACCACGAGAAGAATGAATCCATGTAACTGAACGGACGCGAATTGAAACTCTCACTGCTTCCCCATTTGTGTTGGACTGTGAACTCGATTTTCTACTCGAGAAGGAACGACGAGTCACACCTTCGCTTATCACACGACTTTTTCGGATGTCTGGGAAAACTGACAAACTCTCGAATATGGCAGTGACAGCTGACGGCACTGGAGGAAAAAGGAAGTTTCCAAGCGGTATCCCCTTTCTACGTTCTGATTGGTCCCGAGTGTTGCTACGTCCTGCCGAATCTCCCCTTCCAGATTAGTCTGGAACAATCCTGCGTCGAAATAAGAATATGTCTGTCTCGTAAAACATGGGCATGTGAGTGAGAGAAACCTAAGGGAAAATTGTTTTTTATATTTTAATTACCCTATGAGAGAAACGGCCACCGATACCAGCCGTCAAACACAGAACATCAAAGATCAAAGGGGGGATATTTTGTATCGTCAAAGTCAAACTTTGACAAATCCTTGTCAATTATTTGTGTTGTTTTGATTCTGGAGATTTTCGGTTTAGAGCCCTAAATCACGATGATGGAGCCCCGAAGTCACTATGATTGGGACTCCCATAACCGGCAGGTCGTGGTGGAAGGCACGCAGGCTTTAGAGCGGACTGGAGACAGCCTGGCCAGATCGCATCAGATAGCAGTTGAGACTGAGACTATCGGAACGGAGGTGGTCTCTGAGCTGGGAGAGCAAAGGGAGGCCTTGCTGAGGACCAGGAGTCGGCTAGAGGATGCCAACAGCCAGCTGGATAACGCCAAATCGGTTCTCATCAAAATGGGTAGGAACGTTTTGTACAACAAACTGATCCTAGTCATAATCATTATTCTGGAAGTTGTTATCCTGGCCACTCTAATATATTTGCGGGTTTCTAGATGAGAAAACCCATGTGCTGTTAAATGAATACATTTTCTGTGTAGACGCTAAAAGAAAGTTGTGATAAAATTACGCTTTCAAAGGCTAATTTCAAACATTTTTGTACCTTTATACGCTGTTGCTGTTTTATCCCTACCCGTATTATAAGAAATGGGCCGATGATTAGTCACACCTTTTTATATTAAATGATTTTATTTACACACATACTTTTCTTATTGAAAACCAGATTCCAGAAAATTCATCATATTGTCACCAACGCGTTAAATAGAAATTACCGACCCTTTCCGGTGCAATGCTGGATTACTGGAATACTGAACACCTTTGATATTGAAATTACGGGTAAATGATCATTCTCTTCTTGGTGACAAGCTTTATTTTCGTAGTTAACCTAAAATATACACGTACTTTGTTTAATTGGACACTCTTGATGCCACATTCTTGAGATGGCCATAGACTTTTGAGGGAGGAGATCCTAAAATCAGATTACAAATGGCCCTCCTGGCCAGTTGTATGTTCTGGAAACTGCCCAGAATGTGGATTTTGGAGTCGGCCAACACTATTCTCGTTTTAGTGGCGTTCTCGATCGTGAACTTTGTGCGGCCCCCCTTTCCAGCTAGTCGGCCAATCGCTCTTGACTGATGGTCGCCCTTCAACGTCTTCACATCCTTGATTTCGAAAGATTCGACGAAAAGATCGTCGAGTCGAAGCAGGGCCAGGGCGTCGTCCACCTCGAAGCCATCCATAAATGCCTGCAAAGACACATGCGGTGTGTAGTCGGAAACCACTGAAGGTACTCTATTATATATTTACCTTTACAAAGTCGGCAGCCTTCTGTAAATTGGCAATGTCTGTCGTCTGAGGGCTGGCTTTAATTTCCACGTTTCTACTTTTCAGGTTGAATCTGATCTGGAGGTGCAGATGTTCAACTATGGGTTGAAACAGTTTAAGCCATTGTTCCCTCATCGGACTGTACCGATGATTTGGCACTGGGATCCGTATGTGTGCAACTGCACTTGGCACAATCCGTTTTTCCAATTTTCGTTTCTTAGATGGAATTTCAGCCATTTTACGATGTTCTGTGCTACTGACCAAACCACAGAACATACCCCCATAGAAAGGGGGTTATTTTGTGGACCATACCACTGACCACAATTCACAGAGGATAACCTCACAGATCACAGAGGTTATCCTGTGTAATCTGTGAATAACCTTTCTTTATTCTGTCTTTATCTATGAGGATAACCCCATAGATGAAGGCAAGTAGGCTGACACGAAATACTTGTCACCACAGATCACAGAGGTTCTGTAATCTGTGGCCATCGCCAACGGAACCACTAGTGACGTGGCGGAGATATTGCGGGCATTGTGGTTGGATCAGGTACTTATCCAACCACAATATCTCACCCAGTATATCTATGGCCGCTTCGTGCAAATACGATATCCGCAGGGCAAGCGGGGTCTATCGAAACCTTAGTGAAACATGGGTCAAACATATACATACCGGACTGTACATACCTATAATAGGGTACTGAGAACTTCCGTATGTGTGCGTTCAGGGCAATTCAGGTGTTTCTATGGGTGTGAACAGTTTCAGCCATTTGGTTCCGGGATCTTCCATTGGTTTAAATTTACGATTCTTTGCAGATTGAACGTCAGCCGTTGTAATTATCTTATCATAAATAGACCTCCAACTTTTTTAGCACCGCTGGCCAGTGTGACCAGATTGGGCAATTTATCGCAAATTGGGCTACTTTTCGGCGAGTTTTACGACGAACATTTTGACAAAGTCGCCAAGCGACTGTAGCTGTTATATTTTACGACTTTTTGAAATATGTATGTATGATTATATTCCATTTATGCAAATATCTTTATATGCAGTTTGTATACTTTTAGAAAATAAATTATTCATATTCTACAGGTAAACATATAACTACAACTATACATATATTTACAAGAAATAAAAATAATTATTTACCCTCCTTCAACTGAAATAGAATTACGTTTCTGTGTTCTGGGGGTCGGTGTGATCACCTTTTGCGCCGTGTTACTATGTATTAACCTGCCGACAAAAGCTCGACACTTGCGGCTAAATGCCCAAAATCTATATGAGTTAACGATTTTTCTTCTAGGAAAAACCATATTAACGGTAAAAACCGTTGTTAGCCGCTGAGAAATCAATCAATAGAGTATCACAAAATTACTGGTGATATAAGATGAACTATGTATACGTTTTAGATATTCGAATAAAACACTAAACGAATATTCGAATTTCAGATTTTTAAGTTTAAGTGCTTTTTAGTAAAAAGCACCAAAAATAAAAGCTGACAAAAGATTTGCGCATTCTGAATTCCTGTGAAGCAAATTGGAATCACTTTGTCATAGATGAAGACAATCACAGATTATCAAACTATTTGGTCGCCAACTACCGGACGAATGTCACCAAAAATCACCAGTTTTAGCGCCAAGTAAACTCAAACGAGGTAAACAAAGCGGAACGGTTTAATTAAACAAGAACTTTTTTTTTCGGCCAGCAACGCGGTTTGGTGATTAAACCGCCAAATTCAAACGTTATTCAACTTAATTTATCATTAGATGCTTGCAATTGCAAATGATCATTCACTTCTTGGTAACAAGCTTTATATTCATAGTTAGCCTAAAGTATATATGTACTATGTTTAATTGGACACTCTTGATGCCACATTCTTGAGATGGCCATAGACTTTTGAGGGAGGAGATCCTAAAATCAAATTACAAATGGCCCTCCTGGCCAGTTGGATGTTTTGGAAACTGCCCAGAATGTGGATTTTGGAGTCAGCCAACACTATTCTCGTTTTAGTGGCGTTTTCGATCGTGAATTTTGTGCGGCCCCCTTTTCCAGCTAGTCGCCCAATCGCCCTTGACTGATGGTCGCCCTTCAACGTCTTCACATCCTTGATTTCGAAAGATTCGACGAAAAGATCGTCGAGTCGAAGCAGGGCCAGGGCGTCGTCCACCTCGAACCCATCCATAAAAGCCTGCAAAAACACATGAGGTGTGTAGTCGGAAACCACCGAACTTGCTCGTTTATATAATTGCCACAAAAAAATTAATATAGATAGAACTAAATTAGATATAATATAATAAAAAATAGTAGATATAATATTGTCACGTGGATGGCCGAGTATCAAATTCTTTCTTCTGGTTACAAGTTTTATTCCACTCGGTACAACTTTAACTACGGAACAGGAACAAACTAACTTCTAAAATTAACGTCAACTTCACAAACGATAACAATAACACACGGAAAACACGCGTTTCCGACTCGCGGGTTTAACTTCTTCTGCACTCAGGCGCGGCTGTCACTTCACTCCCCCGGTCTGGTTCTCGTCGTCGCTTATATCCTTTTCTCCAGGTATTCCAGATAGTTCTAGAAATCTCCAGAACAGGTGCGAAACTTCCCGCTTGTCAGTGTCATATTTGACAGTAAATGGGGCCCAAATGGGGCTCCCATTTACTGAAACACCATGAATTTCGTCCCCCATTCCAAACGTGAGTACCCCAGGCCATTTCCGTTACAATATAGTAATAGAAACCACTCTATTATATAATTACCTTTACAAAGTCGGCAGCCTTCTGTAAATTAGCAATGTCTTTCGTCTGAGGGCTGGTTTTGATTTCCACGTTTCTACTTTTCAGGTTGAATCTGATCTGGAGGTGCAGATGTTCTACAATTGGTGTGAACAGTTTCAGCCAGTTTTCTTTCATCGGACTGTACCTATGATATGGTACCGGAATCTTCCGCATGTTTTCATTCTTGGCTGAAACTTTGTTTCTGGCACGCTTAATCCGCTTGGAATTTGCTCCTTCACTCACATCGCACGTGTCCACTTCCATTGGTTTAAATTTGCGCTTTCTTACACATTGAACTTCAGCCATTGTAAGCGCAACTACAACTACAACTAACAACAAAAAAAGCGTCCACAAATTACCACAAAAATAAGCTAATAAGTTGCTAATGACATAGATGAAGACAAGTAATGCTAATGATAGACAACAGCTGTCAGTTCTTCCTTTTGACGATTTGACCTTAAATCGCCCTGACATCCAATGTTGCCGCTTACGTTTTGATGCGCACTACGCGAGAGAGTAATTTAAAAACGAGAAAGAGAGCAATACAAAATCTGAAGAAAATATAACAAGCTATATTTATTGGTTTCACTATAATAATATTTACCTTAAATAAGTTCCATTTTACAATTTGTAAACCAAACGCACTGTTCATTCATCAAAATATAAACACTTGTAACTGATTGCAAAACACTTACACCTACTGAAAAAAAAGACTTTTGTCTTCAACGTCACTATGTTTATTGACGAAGTAATTTATAATATACGATTATATTTAAACAGATTTAAAGTTCCTTTCGAAGTTCACATGGCACGAAAACGAAGACGTGGGCGATAAAATGTTGGCATATTGTCACAGAACATACCCCCTAGCGAATAATAATAATAATATCAAGCCATACTAATAAAAGTAATATTTTTAATGTAACTAAAATGCTTAAAATAAGCGGATATTTTGTGCATATTGTCACCAACCGGGGCCCTCGGAAACTATCGTAAAGCAGAGCGTAAAGTTCTCGTTGGCTCCGCACGAACGCGTTAAATAGAAATTACCTACCCTTTCCAGCGCCAGCATTGCTGCGAAATTGCAAAGGCACTGGCATCATCGCTTGGTTACTATAGCAACTCGTTTGTTTGTACATTATTGTTGGTTGCCCGTCATTGAAAAAAATTCAAACTTATCCAAAGTACAAATTGATTAGGAAGTTTGTACAGTTGGCCCAAAGGCAGTTTGGAATACTTAACACCTTTGATATGGTAATTCTTTTTATGCAGGCTTGTCTACTGTTGATCATAGAATACAGTATTTTAGTATACTAATTATTGAGGTTTCTAAACTGAAAAATGCAGTCACAACATTGCCAGTAAAAGCTTGTCGTTGCCATAGAGACGCTCTTGTTTGTGTTGCCACCATCGTTGTCAGCGTTGTGAACAAGCGAACTTGTTTATTACTTTAATGGCAAACAATTTGCTCTTCGACTGAAGATGATTAGCAGCTCAAAAGTAACTTTCAAGCCACTTTTATGTTTTCCTTTTGACAAACATCGCGATTTTTAGGAGGATCTTCTGGAAATGTCCGAGGCGACAACCCCAATCCGAAATTCAGCGCGACGCCCCATAAAAAGAAGAAATCAAGTGCACTCACCTCCATTCACCTCTCCAGCAACCGGCGCCGCTGATAGAGATGTTACGTCTATATTCTCGGTCAGTCGCATCAGCAGAAGGAGCAGCTCTGACGACACCACCACAGAATGGTCCGACAATTTCATATCGGATGCTTCTGCAAACAAACAAGAAATTACTCGAAAATCGTTGAGTAAAAGCAGCGCCGACCTGCACAAGTAAGCCGTTTCGATCAAAACCTCCTTTCCATAAAAAACACTTTTAATTGTCAGGAAAACTAACAAAATCTCTAGACTAAAAAAGTCCCTGGACAAGCTGAGGCGAGAAACTTCCAAAGTAGACGCCAGCGTCCATTCAGTACGCAGCAGGCTTCAGCTAGACGAACAACGCCCCGAAGCAACGGCATTTTCATTCATCTGTTCGGAAAGTGAAAAATTTCAAGCCCCTGCTGAAGACCGCAATGAGTTGGTGCACTACAAGCCCTCAGGGCACTGGGATCTTGTCTTCCAGGAGCTGAACTTGACTAAAAACGCTCCTCCTAGCCCCAATCAGCTGGATAATCCAGTAAAACTGCAAAACTTCAAACCGCCAAGCGCGCCTCATGCTGCTAAACCCTCAAGTTATTCCCCTCCCAATCGGTACCACGATCTGGAGGAAGTGCGCATTATAAAAGAGAACGTTTTGGAATTGTCCATTGACTCTGTGAAGTTCTACCACCATCCTCTCTTCAGTCTGGAGCATGTTTTGCAGGAAAACTTGCAAAAAGTTTTCGCAAACCACTCAAACACTCTGGAGGAGAAAACAATTGAAAAGCTGCTGGAAGAGCTGGATAACCAGAGAAAGGCCCAAACAGAACAGAGAGAAGCAACGTTGAGGAATGTAAGGAAGGCCAGGGAGCGCCTATTCAAGGAGGCCCGAATGCAAAGGGCAAGGCTGAAAAAGATCCTGCTTACCTGGAAAGGTAAGAGATACAGACTGGTGATACGACCAAGACGGGGTGGAAGCTTACATAGCCTTCATTATTCTATTTCGTCCATTAAAATTATTGGCATATCGAACTTACGTTGTTTTTAATGGAACACCTTGTGTCAACGTGTCCCTATCAGTTCTCTTACAAATAAGGATAAATAAGAATAAACTTTCTTAACACCACTGGTCGTAGCTATCAAGAAAATAAGGGCGAATCAAGGGTACTGCAGCACAAACATCCGATTAATCATCCAGAAGCGACCGCTTGATTCAATTAAGCTTGAGGTTTTGTTCCAACAAATCCTGCAGGATCTACTAGAGGAAAAGAAGGCCGCTTACGAAAAGAAGCTAGGCAGAATGGTAAGTCTGCTGCTTAGATAAATTAAATCCTCTGAAATTTTCCAAAAGGAGGAAGGAAATGGGGATGGAAACCACCAACTCCTGCGAGTGGATGAGGCCAAATTAGAAACGGAGCTAAAGAGGAAGTTCCTGGAATGCTTCCCAGATCCAGGTAAGCTAAATTTAATCGCAAGTATCGACGCAATGGGGGATTTTTAGGCGAACCAGAGCTGTGGTTCTATTTAAGACACGACCAAGAGATCAGCGCCGAAGTGGAAAGCGAGCCAGAGAATCACCGGCGAAAAGCCGCAGCTTCTACAACATTCACCATCAAGATTTCTTGTGACAGCGTGCCAGTTTGCAAATCGAAACCGTCCACCCTCAATGAGCAGTTCGAGCTCGATATTAGCGAGATGTTTCTCCTGCAGCTCACAACCATTCCCCAGAGCTTAACTTTGGAAATCTTCGAACACCCCCAAGGGTAATGTTGGTTATCTGAAGCCCATGTTTCCCTAAATGAAACCCATGATTCGGCAGCTTATTAAGGAAGAATGTGGCCAACGTAACAGTAGAAATTCCGTCCCTGGGGGTTTTATACCAGGAGGCAAAAAACAGGGAGAAGCAATTTGAGCGTCACGAGCTCGTTCACTACACACACGCAGGAGTGGGCAGCGGCTGCAAATTGCAGAACTTGCTTGAAGACGACAATGCTCCTCTGGACCTCAAAGAATTGCACACTAGAGGAGTTTTAGTTTCGCGAGTTGGTTGGCAGAGTGCGCCTCATCGCCGCGACCCTTTAGACCAGTTCCCAAGTGCAAAACCGATAACCAAATGGGGCACTGTGGATGCCGCTGCCATCCAACACTGGCTGGAAGGTAACCAAAGGTCCACACAGAAAACAAAACTGGGTGTTTAATTATTAATTTTTAGCCAGGCGCAGCGATCCAGATATTGAGCTCATTGGCCTGGACGACACTTTGGAGCTTTGGAAAGAAGACTGTTTAACAGGCGACGACGCAGGGTCGTTTTTTAGGTAAGAATGTTGTTCAACACCCCCTAAGTTGGTGTTGAATGTGATTATGGGTTTATAATATAATGTAGGTTGGATGCCAACGCCGACTACCGGAGAAATTTCTGTAAAATACAGGACATTCAGGCCAATCTCCGCTTCCAGTACCTGAAGCTGAGGGATCTTAACGAAATTGAGTTTGACGGCATTACGATTCCCAATAGAATGCGCGAACTTCCCATCAACCTACTGACGGACTTCAAGAAGCGAAAAGCCCTTGAAGGTAAGCCACTTTCAATAAACTCGAAAAACGTTGAACAAACAAACGCTCGTTTTATGTAGAATTCTTTCATTAAAAGCAATGAGTTACTCACTTTTTGCAATAACATAGGGTAATATCGCAATTCGCACTGATTAACACGCAAGTTTAACGCATAGCTTAAGTATTCCATACATCTAATAAACGTATTGTACAGGGTGATTAAATAGTGCCATTTTTGCTAGGTCAAAGTCCTTCAGATAGAAAAAAGTATATGGTGTTAAGCCTCATGTCTTCTGTCTAATTTGTCTCTGTAATCATCTCTTTATCGCGAGCGATTCGGTAAATTCTCATTTTTTATGACCGATCACATCACTTAGGTTCCCCTTATAATAAGATTGTCCAAGAATAGGGCTACAACTTGATTTACAAAAAATATTCAACTGGGACTAGCGGGAAAAGTTGAGAAATATTTCAGCAATTCGTCGTATAGAGTAATTTTTTTTGATTTAAAAACATTTTGATCAAGGATGTCGGATCAATTTCCGTTTCCTGAGAAAAAGCCAAAATGATTCGCACAGACTACACTCACCTTTTGCAACGGAACATAAGTATGAGTGCGGTCCTGTCCTAGTCGGCCTCAGTCAGAACGGGTTTTTGCGCATTTGTGCCCCCACATTCAGGCAACCTGGAATACAATGATTACATGAGGACAGGGACGGCTTACGGTTTAATTCATTATTTTCCACAATTTACCGCTTATTCGGTGCCTTAAATGCAACCTTCTCAATTAAAACGACATTTTAACAAGGTAAGCTTGCTGATAGTTCTTTGTTGTTTATTGTTATAATTTGTTGAACTTGAATTAATGTTGAAATTAACAAAAAATATTTTTTAGTTGAGGACGATGGGCCGGATGGGGATCCGAGGACACTGAGGGAAACAGGCAAAAGACGCTTGAGACAGATGCAAAAGCAAATTTTCCAGAAATGCAAAGGGCTGCGCGACAACCTCAGCTACGAGAGCGTCGTGGATGAAAAGTATCTCATCTACTTCGAGTAAGTAAAAAATGTATTCACTTGAATCTATTTACAAAATATTCTTAGAAATCAGTCTATGTGTGTAAGTGGCGTTTCGGAACGCTTAAAAATGTGTTAGGTGAAGTAGGTGGAATTTTTTGCTCAGTAATAGGATCCAAGTCGACGTTTGTCTCGGATGCAGCTAGTCAAACACAGTGCCAGTGTGGCTCCGATGAGCTAAAATCAGTGAGCAAATATTAGATAAGTTTCCCTGGGATTAAATGCTGGTTTTACCTCAACGGCTGAAACGGCAATCGCAACAATTCCGATAATTTTCACTGAACTCGTTAAAAAGTTCGATAGGCTGTCAACACATCCATTTTGAAACAGTGTGCCGTCCACTGTGGAGTAGCAACTCTTGGGAATGGACGCCGGCGCCCAAGAGCTTGGACCATTTGTGCCACAACACTGGAACTGTTTCCGAAAAAAACCTTAAATGATCCCGAACACGCCATAGAGTACTCACGTTTAGCTGAATCAAGTTGATCAACTCAGTGTCATTTTTTCCAAAGATCGTAGTCAATTGATTTTCCACTTGCGCTTGCAATTCGGTCTCGTTCTTAACCTGGAGGAGAGCGAACACTCCCAAGCCCACTTGTACCAGGAAGATCACAATCAGTATCGCTCCATACTGAAACCAGATGATCAGTTGTTTCCACTCAAGAGGCATTAGGAAGGCGACTTACCAATACCGACTTAGAAACAACATGTTCTTAAGACAGTATTGGACTTACCCAAGTAAGCATGCAGGTGTTACTTTTCAGTGTGCCGCAGCATCCCAGAAAGGCGATAAAGAAAATAACTGCTCCCACTACAATCGCAATAGTAGGCACATATTGTATTGAACTTAAGTCATCTGGAATGGCTTCGGTATATTTCGTGTAGTTCACTTTGTATAGGATGCCCACCACTAGTAATGCCAAGCCCACCAACTAGAATTTAAGGTCATTTTAGATGCGCCAAAACAAGTGAACATAGCGCAGAAATTAGATGGAATTTGAGTGTAACAAGCGCACCAAAGACTTTAATACATTAGCATCGGACACAATTCTAAATCCATAAAGTTGCATTTCAATTCATACAACACTGAAACTTGAAGCTAAAATTCCAGTTATTTCGCCAATCAGACACATTAATTTAAAATAACTAGGCTTAAATCGTGGTGCAAAGAGTCCTCGCCCAAATCGGCTCGGTTTTGAGTGAAAGGAAACCGCGCCCCGTAATGGACGTTTCCATGGTAACCCGAACGCCAAACGGGCTGGGACAGGATTATTTGCACCAAGGGTGGAGCAACCGCCATGTTTTGAGTTCACGACCAGGTTGAGGTGGTAAACGCTGCGAGCGATTAAAACTCGACAATTAAAAATAAAAACGCTTTTCATTTAATTAATGAACCTTCTTCCTGATTTACTACTATTATTTAACCGTCACTGTGTACCTAATTTATGGCCAAATTGCGTAAAAATAACTCTTATCGCACCAAGCGCAAATATTTGGTTAATACTTGGTGTGACTTGCTTATCTACAAAACTGTACAAAATGTACATATATATATATATTAAGGCACTTAACGGTGATGTTAAAGTAGCGTGATCAAGTGAGAAATCACTAAATCAAAGCACTCATGAGTAACTAAAAAAACAAGAACCATTATCAATGGTACTAATTAGTGACTAATAAATATTTCGCAGAAACAACATAATCTCCTCAATTCAAAGAATCAAGCGTATTTTTTTAGCAGAGCCTCAATTACCGCAATCACCGTATCACATGTGTAAACGATTCATTTGATGACCAAGTCATGTTTCCCAATACATTACAAGCACGTCATAGGCACAATTAACTGCAAAAAGTCATGAATTTATATCGACAATTTGCTTCCGAAATGTGTCCTTTGTTGAATTCAAAGTTTTGGGCTTTGCTGACGTCAAATGAATACCGAGCCTCACGGCATAAGACCACCTCAAAAATGAAACCAGCAAAATGTTAGACCAATTGGCTGGCATTTACACTCAAAAACCTCCAAGATAACACGAGATTTAATTGTACGTACCAAAAAGGCAAAATTCGTAACGAAAACGAATATCCTGGCTAATCCTTCGGAACAACCCATTTTGAAACGCAGCTAAATTCACAAAATTCCACTGAGAGAACTGCGAATCTACTGATTGCCGCGCCAAAGTTCTCTTGTTTTGTAGTCGTTATTGCTCCCAATAACCTTCGTTATCGCGTGGTTTAACGAAAATCCTTCTGAGTCACCACTCGCTTTCGGTCAACAAATGATAAATATTTAACGCGATATGGTTTTCGACCAGGTTTTCCACTGTGACTGGCAGCTGCCACACCGCCTTCATCCAAAATCCTGGACTAAATATGTGCCAGATAAAAATAGTACAAAACGTCACAAGAAGGTGCTTTCGGGACCTTCCACGTAGACCTCAAAGGAATAGCGGGATTATTTGCTACACGAATATTTATGACGCGCTACTGAACAAAGCAAATTAATCACGAAGGACAATTAATAAATTAATTTCCTTCTATCGCTTCATTTTGCGTGATTGAATTTCCAGTTAGATCGCCAATCGATCACATCAATTTAAAATAACTTAGCTTTAATCGCGGTGCAAAGAGTCCTCGCCCAAACCGGATCGATTTGGGTGAAGGAAAACCGTTCGCCTGCCTGGGATGTTTCCATGGTAATCCGGACGCTAACCAGGTTGGGGCGAGATTATTTGCACCACGGATGCATTTGGATGGCGTTAAGTTCAGATGAGTGTAATTTGCAAATTATAAGCAACCATACAGGGTGGAGAGAATAAGTGGTCAAACATGGTAGGGCAAGTAGGATGAGTCGAAATTTCGCTTTCTGCATTAAAGCATTGATATTCAACGTTTGCCATTTGAATTGCTAAAAAGGTAATCTGCTGTGTTGTACAAGTAAATTCAAAATTACGTTTTCGCATTTGCATAGTTCAGACGCTGCTGCAAAATACATATTTTTGAGGAACATGTTGACGATTTTCTTCTTAGAGTCCCGTGCGGATTCCTGCGTAGGCGTTCATCTCCTTTTGTTATCAGATTATTCTATTAATTGCAGCATAATGTCGATATTTTTATTTTCTCTTTTCGTCTTTTCGCGAAACGGAAAATAATAAAATGAGGCGACTAATAAATTCTAAATGATCCGGCAGTATAAAACAAAACCTTCCCATTCGTTGAAATTAGGCTGACTCATTGCAAATAAATGCCAATTAAATACTGATAGTACTAATACTCGATGAGTTCCTAAGTATCCATTATTAGCTAAGATTTGTCTTGAAAGAATTCCAGATTTATTACTGATGATTAACCGCAACCACTCATATAAACGACCCGATTTTAACTATTAAGGGCTTTTTCACTTTTTCAGAGAAGTGGTAAAAACGTTAGTTAAAAACCTCTTCAACTTGTTCCGATGGCGTCCGAAGCTCTCCAGGCCGCTGCCCCGATTAGCTGCAGAACCTCAACAGACTCCTGCTCTTTCGACGCACAAATTTCTCATCAGTATCCTTCGAGGAAAAAACATCCCTCAAAGAGATGGTGCAGGCGACGTGCAATCTTTCGTGGAAATCAGCTTCGAGGACTTTTTCTTCACCAGCAGCACCAAGAGCGGCAAAGAACCCGCATGGAATGAAGCGATTGAACTGCCTCTTAAGTACATTTACACCTCGGAAAAGTTTGCAGTAGATTAGAAGATTCGTACTCCCATAGGGCTCAACACGCGGATTATCTCAATCCCGATGCGCTCAGTGGATCGATTTCCTTCAACCTCTTTGATCAAACTGGAGAGCGGGATAATCCAAGGAAATTCTGGCTGGGGGAGGTGAAAGTGCCCTTGGCCGCCCTTGCCACTGGTTTAAATGTTAGATGGCTTCGTTTTGGGAGAGCTCGATAAAAAGTTGATTTTTCCAGCTGAGTGGATGGTTCAAAGTGCGCAAAGCTCAAGTGCTATTCGGCTACCAGGCGCAAGAGGAGCTAGTGGTGTCCAGATCTCCCAAGCTAAGCAGTAGCATCGAAGCAACCTTCATCCAGCTGGATGTGCGAGTTTCTCCAATTCTGCCCTCGTTGGAGCCCAGCATGGCTGAACTTCCTTCAAACGATATTCCGTACATCAAAGAGCACGTGCTCAGATGGAACGAATCCTTCAATGCAGCATTTCCCAGCAAAAAAGTCTGCGCTTTGGCTATCGACGTTAATGGGCGCACGAACTGCATCAC